TACGAGGGAGGGGGCAGACTTGTTCTGTGTGGTCCAAGGGGTCTAATGAGGACTGATGTAGGCTGTATAGGAGACAGATTTTGGCTCAGTACAAGGTACACCAGTGAGAGCTGCCCAAAAGCCGGTGGACTGGCTTGTGAGGTAGTGGGTACCCATCACTGCAGGGGGCAAACAGAGGTTGTGGGGGTGGTCAGAGACAGGTTCCCTGTTCTGATACCTGACCATTAACTTCTGCAGTCTTTCCCGAATTTGTTGCAGGGCTTCTTCTCATCTGCGATCTCCCTCAGTGATCCCAACTTTGGCTTCAGTTACCTCCAGTGCATGGCTACCTCATCCCTCTCTGTGTGTCCAGTAGGCCATTGGACGTTTGACGTGGATGATCCATGACTCAAGCCCAATAGGAATTGTTCTTCCCCCCGAACGTGCTTCATTTCCAGGTCTTCACATCTTAGGCACCCACTGCGCCCAGCTGTTCAAGCCTTCAGTCCATCCTTGACTCTTACAGCCCCTCCCTCTCCTCAAACAGTCCCCAAGCCTGGTCATGTCTACCCTTGAAATATTTCCTAAGTTGGCCCCAGCATCACTAAGTGACTCTGATGAGATAGTGTCATATTTTGAAACAGGTATTTTAGATGTGGTTTCCTTTTGCTGCTCTGAGCAGTGGCAATTTTCGTGGGGTGGGGAGGGGTGGGGAAGAGGAGAGAAAGGAAGGGAGGGATGGCTCCCTAAATGAGTCACTTCAGATCCTTTAAGAAAGACCCAAAATAGCAGTGACACGAGAATAGGTGCTTATTCCCACCCATGTGAGGGTCTGGGTATGTCCAGGGCTGATACTGCAGCTCCTCAGGGTCCTGCTGTCCTGCTGTCCTGCTGCTGTGCAGTCCCAGGTGTGGCCTTTGACGTGGTCCCAGGTGGCTGACCACGTCTGTGTTCCAGCTAGTGGGAAGGGGGAGGAGAAAAGAGAGGGTATGCTCCCTCCCTTTAAGGGCAGGACCCAGAAGCTGTACACATCAGTTCCTCTCATATCCTATTAGCCAGAAAATAGTCACACGGCCCCACCCAGCTGCCAGGCAGGCTGGGATCTGTAGTCTTTAGCCGAATGGCCATATGCCTAAAAATTCTACGGAAGAAGAGAACAGGTGTAAGGGGAAAACTGGTGGTTTCTGCCACAGTTATTTTGTACATTTCAATGTGACCTGCATGGCAGCTAGTTGACTAGACCTTAAGGATAGAGTACATGAAGGCTTAAAGTACTAATGAAGTTCCACTAGCATCCAGCAAAGCTCTTCTTTTATAGATGGGAACATTGAGCTCAGAGAGGGGAAGTCACCTGTTAAGATTGCACAGCAAAGGGTCAGAGCTGGGACTAGAACCCCAAACTTGGGGCTCACTTTCTACCATTTCAGAGATCTGGCTGAGAGGCAGACAGGCAGTGCCAGGAGGACAGGTCTCTTGGAGCTGGGTGGGGCACCTTTCCCAGGCTGTCTACCTGGGGAGCTGTGTATTATTTTTCAGGACTCACCTTTAGGGTTAGCATGTCTCTGAGGTGCCTCCAAGTAGCCCCCACTGTATCTTAAATAGTATACTGGACTGGACTGCAGTGATTCATGGGCATGTCCACCTTCCCTATTGGAACGCAGGCTTCTTGAGGACGGACACGTTGTGTGGTCATCTCTCTGTCCTCAGTGCCTGCCTACCAGGCACTCAGTGAATAGTTAAATGAATTACTGAATACATGAATGAAGGTATATTCAAGGATTCCTTCAGTTGCAGGTAGAAAGCTCAAACTGGCTTAAGGAAAAAAAAAAAGATTGGCTCAAGTATCTTGGCGGTAGAGGTGTGCATCTTGCTTCAGGCATAGCTGGATCCAGAGGCTTAACTGTTATTTTCAGAAGCTGCTTGTATGCTATGCTGGTTAGCATAGGTTGATGCTGGTTGTATGGCCTGACCCTTCTTGCCCTCTTTGTGGGAAATGTTGCCCAAGCAGCCCCTGTAGAGACTCGTGGGAGGCAGGGGGTTAGGAGAATATGTGATGCTGCTGGTGGTCATGGTGGAGGCAAGCAGTCCCTTTGGGGCATCCCCAGGTCCAGGGCATCTTGGTAGAGAGCCCAGTCTGAGCCCAGGTTTTTTGGTTTTGGTTTTATGGGGCCCATCTTGGGTCATCTCTCAGGAACTGCCCTGCAGTTTCCCCTCTGCTGGGGTTGGATGTGCTTACTGCACCCTCAGGCTGAGGGTGCCTGGGCCCCTCACTCCTGCTTCTCTGGGAAAACCGAGGCACTCTGTGGTCCTTCCTGGCGGGGCTCCTTGGAGTTGCCACATTCGGCTGGGAGGGAGGAGGGGGAAGGTGGAGGAGGAAGGAGGGCTGGCTGGTGACTCACTGGGAGGGGTGGCACATGCTGATTCCAGGGCAGGTCCTGCCTGGGGCTGAGAATTCCCCTTTGTAGAAAAAGTGGGCAGAGTGGTGTGTATGCCCCATGAGGTCCCTGCGTCTCCATGGGGCTCTGTGTACCGGGGCAGCCCATCTGTCCCCAAGGGCAGTGATTGGCTCTCTGTTCCCAGGACATCCTCTCATTCCCTGAGCAGTGCCTGTCTCGGAGCTGTGTTTCTCCTTCCTGCCCTCAGCTCCCGGCGGGGAGGCGGGGATGCACAGCTGTTGGGTTGGAGCCTCTTGGTGCTGTGGAATCCTCAGATCTCATTAGTTCTGGACTGTCAGGGTGCTTCTCCACAGGGTAAGCCATGAGGGTGGGAAGTTTCCTGGGTCCAGCGTCCAGGGAAAGAGTCAAAGGAGCAAGCCCAATGCCCACCCCTGAGACTCCCCATCCTCCCTCTGGAGGAAGGGACATCTCAGCCCTTGGGGAGCCCGGATAGGTCTGATCAGGAGAGGGGTGTCCCCTGATCTTCCACATTCATGGAGGTGGTAGGCATTCCCAAGAGATCCTGGGGAGGAAAACCCTAGGGTGAGGAATTAGCTTGGTGTATGGAAGAGACAGTCATAAGAAAGGTCTTGAGTGCCAGGCAGAGGAACATGCATTTACTTTGATAGTAAATGGGGAGCCATGGGAGGTTCTTGAGCAGGAGGAGGGATGGGAACGGATTCTTCTCTTAGGTTCTAGGAGGAGACACATAGAGAGTGGGGTTGGTGGGGACAGAGTGGAGATGGCAGGGCCGGTGAGGAGGGTCGCCGGAGGGTCGGAGGAGTGCTGGCGGCACAGGTCAGGGTGGGAGGTGGAGGAAGGGCGTGTGCAGCAGTGGGAAGGTGCAGGAGGCAGCCTGGGAAGAACAGACAGGCCGTGGTTTGTCTAGAGGTGAAAGAGAAGAAGAGAGACTTGGAATCTGGGAGCTTCTTAATCTTTGGTCCCTGGTGCTTCCTTGGGGGGAGCAGACAAGCACGGCAGGCCACTGCCTGCTAGCTTTTCCTGTGGGCTGTGGTGGCCCTTGTAGGCAGGATGTGGTGCCTGCCGAGGGTGCCTTTATGAATGGAGCGGGAAGGCTGCTGACTCAGCAGGCTGCGAGGCTGTAAGGCCACCGGGGTTTGGACCGGAAGTGTCTGGGAAGGAAGTGGCTGCTCAGGGCTTCCCCGCTGTGGACAGCTGGGAGCGGGGGTGGGGGAGGACAGGATGCACCAGGTCTGGCTAGGGGACTCCCTCAGTCCAGCTGCTGGGAGTGGGGGGTGGGGTGCTTGGCTGGGATTGGAAGGGTTGAGGCCGGGTGCCTGTGACTGGAATTGATGCTAATGGCTGTTGATGAGGTGTGCTCCGCGGGAGGGCAGGAGGTCGTGGCAGGAGGTTGGGAACCTGAACCTTCTCAGCTGTCCTAACTGGCAAATCACATCACATTAATGAAGTCACCTCACTTATCTGGGCTTTAGTGCTTTTTCTCCTGTAAAATGGGACCAAGTTGATCAGCCGGTCTCCCCAGGTGGTTCTGAGAATGTGAAATCGTTTGTATTCTTGTCAATCAGTGTCGGATGGCATGGATCGACACTGGTTATGTGGCTCGATCCAGACGTGGCATGAATAATCAGGCAGCAGCTGTGGGACACAGGGAAACGGTGGGGGCTGCCTGCCCAAGTCAGGCTCCTTGCGGGGCAGCCAGGGCTGGGAGCAGGGCTGGACCCAGGGAGGTCTGGGCCCCCTGACCTATGGCACAGACAAACCTCTCATTCAGTCCTGACTCCAGCCTTGGAGGTCAGCCCCAGTCCTGGCCTCTTTCATTTCTGGTCCATCTTGGTCACTCAGCATACGTGTGTTAAACTAGCAAATGTCCTCTCCCCCGAGCCCCACACTCATACACCCAGTTGCCTCCTAGAACTCTCCCCTGGAAGTTTCTGCACAAACACTGCTAACTTCACACGCCCTACACCAAACCTTTCCACAGTGAGTGTCCCACGCGGTCACTGAGCTCAAAATCATGGACCCTCGACTGCTCCCTTTCTCCCCACGTCCTCAAATGCTGTCATTTTCACCCAAACCTGCGTCGTCTCTTCTGTCCAGTTGTCATTTATCCCGCAGATGCTGTCAGAGTAATCTTTAGGAAGCACAGCTCTGACCATATCCTTTCCCCTATTCTGGAACCTTCAGTGGCTCCTAGCGGCCTTCAGGACCAAGTTCAGACCTCTTAGCCTCTCTCAAAGTCTGGCTCCAGCCTCAGCTCCTGCTGTCCCCTACCAGCTGCTGTCTCGAGCCAAACGGATCCGTGCACGTCCTTGCCCAGCAGGCCAGTTTTGCCTTCACTGGCTGCCTCAGCCTCCTCTTTAGTTCTGACAGGGTGGGTGCCAGCTGCCCCCTGCCCGCCTCCCCTGGTCCAGTCTCCCCAGTGACTCAGTTCCCTCCTGCCAGCATCTCTCAAAAACTCCCTCAGCAGGGAGCCTTGTGGGGAGTGGGAGGGGGGATCTCCCTAGGGGCAGTGGCAGCCTTCCCCCAGCTGGTCCAGGGGAGAGCCCAGAGGGAGGGCCTGGAATGACCTTCTAAGACAAAGGCCTCACTTCCTCTTCCTCAGAGGCAGGGGCGGCCTTCCACCACGGAGAGCCCAGCTGTCAGCTGCCTCACGGGAAGATGCTGGGTGTGCGTGTGGCCACCGCCCTGGGCGTGCTGTGGTTCTGCCTCACAGGTGAGGGGGGCAGTATGCGGACTGGACTGGAGGTGAGGGGGGCGCCCTCTCCCACCAGGGCTCCCACCAAGCCTCTCTGTCTAGTAGGGATGGGGAGGGTTTTCACAAACCTCCCCCATTCTCGCCTGTGCCCTGTCCACACTCATTTCCACCTCGGGATCCAATAGGCAACTCTCTTTACATTTCTTAGCCGCCATTTGCTCTTCTGTGAAATGGTAATGTGATTGCTGATGTGATATTGCTGTCTCTTGAACACACCTGTGTGCTCCCTCACCAGGGCCTTTGCACGTACAGTTCCCTCTGCCTGGAACTTTCTGCCCCCAGACGTCGGCATGGCCTGATCCCTTATTTCATTCAGGTCTTTTCTTAAATGTTGCCTCCTCAGGAAGGCTCCCTGGCACCTTGTGTAAAAGAGCACACCATCCTTCTTCATCCCTTCCCAGCCCCGACCTCACCTCATGCTTCTTCCCAGCCTTTATCTCCACCTGACGTATTTTATGTTTACTTGCTCATGGCCTGCTCTGCTCAAAGAGCAGCGTCTATCGCCAGTGCCAGGATCGGTGCTGGCCACATAGAGGGTGCTCAATAACCGTGTTGAATAAATGATGTGAATCTGCCCACACAGTGCTTGGCACAGAGTTAGCATTCAGTAATGGCAGCTACTTTAATAACAATATCCTCATCTTATTTCCAACCCTAGTCCGTGTCTCTGCTCTGAGGGAGACGGCCTTCTTCCTCCAGGGGGAAGACAAAGTGAGCGTCTAGCGCCATCTGGTGTCACAAAAAGGAAGCACCTCTACCCATGCTGCTCTGATTTCTAGAGAAAGGCTTTGTCTGGGTGACTCTTCGAGTTCATCCCCCAAATGCCCCCCTAAAAAGGGCACCCTGGTCCACTTGTTCTCCAGTTGGAGAGCTGGCCTGGGGTACCTGGGGTTGCAGCAAGAAATCCAGGGCTAGCTTAAGACCTTTAGAGATCTGGATGCACTGCAAAGATTGTGACACGCCCTCCCTTTGTATAACTCACAATGAAAATACTAACCATAAATTATTTTTCTAAATGCCTTTAATGGGTGCTGTATTCAATTATGTTTATGTCAAGATTGTTTGATCTTCACACTTTTTGAGTGTGCCTGCTTTGCTGGTGCCCAGAGCACACACTTAATCTAACCATTACCCAAGAATGGCAGTGCCAGGGTAGGGGGCACACCTCCCCCAAAGACAGGCTATCGGGGACCCCTGCACAACTTTCCAGGGCCCTGACAGAAGAGCTGGAATGAGGCAGAGGTGACTGGGTGGGGAGGCTGCAGGGTAAATCCACAGGGCGGAGGGCAAAGGAGGAGCAGGGGAACCTGCCCCCGGGGCTTTTCTCTGGCTGTGCCCTGGGTCCTGGCCCTGCGGATGGACTTGACCTCAGGCTGCTGGATTCATGCTCCTGTGTTCCCTTCACCTCCAATCCACTCTGTTGATTCTCTCTCCTAAATAAAACTTGAATCTGTCCCATTCCCTCCATCGCCATTGCCACCCTCTGAAGCTAAGCCATCATCAGTTCTTACAAAGACCACTGAAATAGCCTCCTAATCCATTCTCCAGAGAAGCCAAGTGGGTTTTAAGGATTGTTACCCAGATTATGCCTGATTAAACCCCCAGTGACTTCCCATTGTATGTAGAAAAACCTCAATTCCTTACTGGTTGCCCAGAGCTCTCCCATCCAGATACTTGGCCACGCTGGACAGCCTCCTGATATTTTCACACAGCAAGCTGACTCCTGCCTCAAGGCCTTCCCACCTGCTGTTCCCTCTACCTGGAACACTCTTAAACTGGCTCTTTGTATGTTGGGCTCTTTTTTTTTCCCCTTTAAATCTCAGCTCAAGATCTCTTTAGAGAGAATGTGCCTCACTACCATATTTAAAGGTATGGGCATTCTTTCTTTCTTGTATAAAAACTAATCATGTTTGTTTAGGAAAAGAAGAGAAAACGCACTTGTGATCTTTCTCATCGAGAGGAAGACACTATTAACATTTTGGTGTATACTTTTTTAGACTGTCCTTTCCAATTTATAAAGATAATACATATTTATGGGAAAATGCAACCAGCACAGACAGGTGTACAGTACCTGCCAGATTTTTGAAAAGCTATCACCTTCTAATCCATTGGTTTATTTTCTTCCCTCTTACCCCTAATCACATGCTGATGAGAATTGTGTGCTAGTTTGTCCCTCCCTCCCATTAAAGTGAAAGCTCTGTAGGCGTGTGACCTTTGTCTTGTTCTCTGTTGCATTCCTAACTCTTACCCTTGCTGTATTCATGTTAATTGAATGAGGACCACAGGTAATAAACTTACTTTGGGTGTCAGGCCTTAAAGGAAGAGTGGACAGGGCCTGGAGTTAACCCAGGGTGTCCCCACCCCTCCTCACCGCCCCACCCCACCGCCCCCAGGCACCGCCGTGGAGGTGCAGGTCCCCGAAGACCCCGTGGTGGCCCTTGTAGGCACCGATGCCACCCTGCGCTGCTCCTTCTCGCCCGAGCCGGACTTCAGCCTGGCGCAGCTCAACCTCATCTGGCAGCTGACGGACACCAAACAGCTGGTGCACAGCTTCGCCGAGGGCCGGGACCAGGGCAGCGGCTATGCCAACCGCACTGCGCTCTTCCCCGACCTGCTGGCTCAGGGCAACGCGTCCCTGAGGCTGCAGCGCGTGCGCGTGGCCGACGAGGGCAGCTTCACCTGCTTCGTGAGCATCCGGGACTTCGGCAGCGCCGCGGTCAGCCTGCAGGTGGCGGGTGAGCGCCCGGAGGGGGGCGCCCTCCCTTCGGTACACCCGTCATACTTCCCGCAGCCCCTTAACTCCCGTCCGAGTGCTGACCCCTGTACTCACAGCCCCAGGCGCTCTTTTCCTCTACTGTGTCCCCTGCCCTTGCCTTACCTTGACCTCTGCCGCCTTCCCCCCTCCAGCCCCCTACTCAAAGCCCAGCATGACTCTGGAGCCCAACAAGGACCTGCGGCCCGGGGACACGGTGACCATCACGTGCTCCAGCTACCGGGGCTACCCCGAGGCTGAGGTGTTCTGGCAGGACGGGCAGGGCGCGCCCTTGACCGGCAACGTGACCACGTCGCAGATGGCCAACGAGCAGGGCTTGTTCGACGTGCGCAGCGTCCTGAGGGTGGTGCTGGGCGCTAATGGCACCTACAGCTGCCTGGTGCGCAACCCCGTGCTGCAGCAGGACGCTCACGGCTCCGTCACCATCACAGGTAGGGGCAGCGAACAGCTGGCGAGGGAGCCGCCGCCTTTTTTCCAGACCCTGAGCTGGAGTTTAGATAGTTTTGGGTGGTCAGAAGACTTTTTAAAAACCATTTTCATACATTTCAGGTGTCTCAAACTGTCCCCCAAGAAGTCCTTAAGAGACGTGCTTTAACGAGCTGATAAGAATCATTTGTACTATTTGCCCTCCCAGAGCGCCGTAGGTGGTACAGATCCTTCCTATTCGAGGGACCGAGCACCTGCCTGGAATCTAGAGGTGTGGGCGGGAGTTCTGGGGCAGCCACAGGGCATGGCCCGGGAGTGCTTTCCTACGGGAACTTCTCCGGGTGATGGGAAGGTCCATGGGCAGCAGCTGATTCTGAGGCCCTGAGAGGCAGATGGGCTTCTCCAGGTGGTCAGTCCCGCTCACCCCATCAGCGTCAGAATTGCGCTCAACCCAGGGAGCAGTTGAAGCGGCCTGGGTTCTCTCTGCTGCTCCCATGTGGTCAAACACTAGATCGACGTCGCCCGTTTGGCAATTCCCTCAATCTCTGGTTTTCGGGTGGGTCCTAGCCCAGACACCCTTTCTTTTAGCGCCTACCTCAGTGGGCGCCTCTTGTGCCTGGAGGTGTGAAGAGGGCTCAGGCCTACACTCAGGCCAAGGGAGGCAGTCTCGGTCTGTGTTTGGACCTCAGTCTGGCTCCTCAGTCCTTCCACTTGAGCCCACTGAGCATTCCCAGGGTCCTCCCCACGTTCTCTGCTGTCAGGACAGCAGGTCTGTCTGTCTGGTTCTCCTGTTTTCTCTTCCCATGACTTTCCCCCGACCTCCCGCCCGCCCAAGTCCTGACCACCACCAGTCCCCAGTTTCTGCATTAGTCTCGGACTTATTCCTGACTTGCGTCTCCCCCTCCAGTGTGCCTGGACCTACGTGGCTTCACTCCTGACAACCATCACACTTGTCTTTTAGGAATTCAGGCTCATTCCTCCTTCTCTTTTCAGTGTTTCCTTCTGGCAAGACTGTTCCCTCTGCCCACCCCCTCTCCAAGACTGACTCTGCCCTCTTCCTAGAGACCCCCCTGGGTCTGTGCTCTCTGTGAGGGAGTCACCTCCCTGGGTTCTTGGATGTCCTGAGGGGTCTCCCTGACCTTTTAGAGAACAGCATATGGTCTGGTGTGTCCACAGGAGAGAATAAGAATATCAGATAGAGTGAGATTGACAGAGAAGGTGAAGCTTTCAGAGAAGGGGGCCAGTGGTCAGAATGGGCTGGAGTGGTCAGGAGAAGTCTCCAGGGACAGGTGGGGCTGAGAGGACCTTGAAGGATCGGTGGACTTTGTGATAATTTGTACTGGGCTGAACTGGATATTTGCCACACTGTGCAGGAAGAGCTTATGTGTACAAATGTGATTGCAGGGGGAACATTTACCCCACCAAAGAAAGAAACCCTTGTTTAAATTTTAGTAGCTAACATTTAAGGCACTGTCACTTCATGGATGAGGAAACTGAAGCCCAGATTGAAGAGAGAACTTTCCCGAGGCCACAGACTAGCTCAGTGGCTCTGACTCCTGGGAGTCAGGCACCTCTCTGAAAACTGGATCAATGAGAAATGCAGTAGTTTGCCTTTAAATTCTAAGGGTTCGTGGCCCCTCTAGACTCATGCATGGGAGTCTGTGGACCTTGGCCCCAGCACTCTGTAGTGAGCAGATGCACCAGGATCAGAATCCAACTTCTAGCCTCTCAGCCTAATTTTTGCTTCCCAGCCCCCAGCCTCCTGTTTCTGTTGGAGTAGGTCTGGCCTACTTTGGAGCCCTTGGCCTGTATTTTGCTTTGGCCAGCTTTGTGCTTTCTAAAACATTCTGGGATTCAGCCTGTCAGTTCTCCAGCCTGGTCTCTCCTGTGCCTGCTGGAGCTTAGTTGAGTGTGCTGTGTGTGGAGGGGGCTTTATGGAGCAAGCCCTGGACATGGGGCCTGAGGACCTGGGTCTGAGCCCTGCTCTGTCCTTTACTGGCTGAATGAGGGCGAGTCTGACCCGTGTCCTGGGCACTGACACTAGCTTAGCGACGAACATAGAAAGACCCCCCTCCCCCAGCCCAGAGTGTTTCTGTGGCTCTGCTCTGTGCTCGGCCACCAGAGCCCATGCTGGGACCCCCAGGGGATTCTTCCGTGTGTCTCGTGAACTCACCCTATGGGCCACTCATGTCAGCTGCTCTCCTCTCCTGCTCCTGCTTATGGGGCTGATGGTCCCTTCACTTCCAGTATCCAGAGCAGCAGCTTTGCCAGCTGATGCCTGCTGAAGGTACCATCCGTGCCAATGCCTGTGTCTGTGCCAGGGCCTCTGCTGCTGAAGGGTTCATGGCCCTGCTCCCTGCACTGACAGTGCCTTCTGCAGAACCCGCTGGCTCCTGGGCCGCTGACGCCCTGGACACTCATGGTCTCTAGAGAGCACAGGAAAGCAGCACTGTCTTTTAGACTTTTTGTCTCCAAGGCCTCTGCCCAGGACCCAGTGTGGGTCCAGGGTCTGGGCCATAGGACGGTGTGCTCAAACCCAGGTGTGGGTGCCTCAACACCTCCCCTCTGCCGTGAGATAGCTAACAGGAGGGCATGGAGACATTCCCCCGGCAAGTCTCCTCCCCTTGGGCAAGCCCAGAGCCCTCACCTGGCACCCTCAGGGCCCACTCTTGTCTGTATGGAGGAACCTGCATGTATTTTCTGTGCTGGGCTGGATTGTAGATATTGTAGGCTTTGTGGGCCACATGCCATCTCTGTTGCTGCTCTGCTTCTTTTCCTTCTTCTTCTGCTCCTCCTTTTCCTTTGTTTTGTAACCCTTTACAAATGTAAAAACTATTACCAGCTCAAGGGCTGTACAAAAACAGGCCACAGGCCAGATCTGGCCCGCAGGCAGGCTGCAGTTTGCCAACTCCTGATCTGTAGGAGGGGGAATATCATCAGGTGGGGCTGGAGTAGTCAGGGAGGGCCTCCCAAGGAGGTGACTCTTAAGCCAGGTGGAGAGTTTGGGAGTACTTTTTAGGTAGGGGAAACTGACAGCAATGGTGTGGAAGGATCCAGTTGTCTCTGCAGAGAATGGTTAGGACACCAGTTTGGCGGGAGCAGAGCTTCCTGTAGTGGAATTAGAAAGAAAGGCTGGGGGAGGGTAAGTAGCAACCAGATTATAAAGGTCCTTGAATCATCCTGAGAAGATTGAAGCATTATTCTTGTGTCAGTAGGGAGCCATAGAAGATTCTTGAGCATCATCAAATGCAGACTCTTCAACCCTCCCAGGCTGAGGCATGTCTACACCAGCCATGGCTGTGTCAGGGTTTGGAGGGTATATGGATGAGCAGAGAAGGGGCTTGGGAACTTAAGTGAGCTCTCTTCTTAGTGTTGGGGCCCAGCGAGGCTGGGAGACCCCACTCACACCTTGGAGTCAGAGGGTACTGTCCCCAGGGCTGTGGAGGCCAGGCATGATAGTCTCTCCCCATTCTCCCCACTTCCCCTCCCAGGGCAGCCCATGACATTCCCCCCTGAGGCCCTGTGGGTGACAGTGGGGCTCTCTGTCTGTCTCGTCGCACTGCTGGTGGCCCTGGCCTTCGTGTGCTGGAGAAAGATCAAACAGAGCTGTGAGGAGGAGAATGCAGGTGAGTGGTGGGGGGTGTATGTGTGTGCACATGTATGCGGCTTTGGGTATGTTGTGTGTCCATGACATCAACATGAGTGTCACTTTCCAGTGACAGAATGAGTGTGGATGTGCAAATAGGGCTAAATCGTGTGTGTGTGGTCTTGAGGCTGCATATGTGTTGTGTGTGTGAACAAGTGTGAGCCTGCCTGTGAATGTGCAAATAGGGCAGGATCAGTGTGGTTATGAGTGTGACTGGAAGTGAGTGGTGGATGTGTAAAACTGAAGTGTGATGAGGGATGAATGTGTCTGTGCACACAAGTGTGACTGTGAGCGTGTAAGTCACGTGACTGTGTGGTGAGAGTGCAGGTTCAGAGCATGAGAATGTAGCAGCACAAGTGTAAAGCTTCAGGGGTTTGTGTGTCACCGTGAGAGGGTGGGCCTGCCTCAGAGCCGAGAGTCTGAAGCTGCTGCCGTTTACTGGGCTAGGGTCCGTATGAGTCAACTTTGGTGAGTGGTAGGTGGTGAGCTGACGTTGGTAGATAGGTGGTTTGACCTCCTTAGGTGAGTAAGTTCACTCTGGTGAGACGTGGGTGGGTGAGTGGACCCTGGTGGGTGGTACGTGGGTAAACATAGGTTTTCATGGGTAAGCATGAAAGTAGGTGGTGAGAGATGGGACACGACTAGGTGTCAGGAAGGAGAGCGCATATGTGAATGGAGAAGAGACTGGCCAGTTGACAGCGAGGTGGCTGGGTGGGCTGGTGGAAGGATGAGTGACAGACAGATGGGTGGGTGTGCATGATGGAGGGTGGTGGTTGATGGGTTGGTGGGTGAGTGGATGGAGGAGGGAATGGGGTGTGTGGAAGGGTGAGGGGTGAGCTCCAGGCTGGGAGCCCTTTCGTCCTGCCACAGACTCTGCTCTGCTCTGCATTGGTCTCAGGCCCCGACCCTTTGTCCAGCGTTTGGACTGCGGGGCAGGCCTGCTCAGCCCCATTTACCTGCCTCCTGCACTCCCAGGTGGGGAAGTGCAACGGCAAAGGTGAGGCTGAGAAAGTTTTTCATTCACTCTTCCAGGAGCTGAGGACCAGGATGGGGAGGGAGAAGGAGCCAAGACGGGTAAGTCTGAGCTTGGAGCTGCCCTACCTTGTTGGCTGAGGGAAAGACACAGGAACAGGGGTGGTGGAGGACTCCAGGATCTGGAGGAGCCCAGTTACTTGAAGATTTGAATGAAGTGTGTCCTGGGCGCTGAGGCATCCCAGGCCGGGTGCGTCTGGTGTTGGCTCATTGTTAGGTCCAGAGGCCGATTGCCCAATTCTCTCCCAGATGTGGCTCCATTTCTCCTGCCTGCCTTTACCTGTCCACCTGGGCTGGCTCCGCCCTGAGGGACCCTGCACTGTGGGGTCCGCTGGCTCCCTAGTGGGAAGTGAGGCCTCAGGAGACAGCATGGTCTGGGATAAGTTCCTGTCCAGCTCATATAAGCTGAGTGGCCTTGAGCAAGTCACTTTCCTTCTCTGGGCCTCAGTTTCCTCATAATAACTGCCTACCTTTATAGGTTGTGTGGGTTAAATTAAATGAGAAAATGTATACAAAAGGCCTAGTACCATCCCTGGTACCTATGAAGTGCTCAGTCCCTTGGCGTCCTGTTATCAGCAGACAGTTTAAGGCAGTCCCATTCCAGTCAGAGGCTCTGTAACTTGGGTCAAAGGGCTTTGCTCCTCTGGGCTTCGGTTTCCCATCTGTCAGGTGTCATCCTGGCCCTGCCTGGATGGCTGTTTTGAAGCTCTCTCCAGTGACTGGATAGGAAGGGGGTTTGCAAAGGGCCTAGTGTTTTGGGGACACAAACCTGGAGCCCAGCATGGGGTGGGTGCTGAGGCACTGGTGTCCTGTGGCCACTGGAGGCCTTGCTGCCCTCCCTTCCTGGGCTCCGGGGCTGGGAGAGGTAGGTTCCTGCTGAGCCATTTGGGATGGTGTCAGTTGACGCTGACACCTCCCCACCCCCCAGAAAGAAGGGAAGGAAGGGCAGGAGATGACACCTGGGGACTGCTGTAAATTATGCCAATTAATTCTCTGCCTTAGGTGTTGGGTGTGGTGGGTGTGGAGACAGCCCTGGGATCAGGCCTCATTTTTCGTGCCCAGAGGCAGATGTAGTTGGCAGAAGAGAGGGAGTGGGGAGAAGAGCAGGGCTTAGAGATTGGTCAGTCTGAGTTCTGCATGATCCCGGCCCACCTGGGGAGGTCTGCAGCCTCTCTTAGCTCCTTACTTCCCCCTTGTCTTAGAGCAGACTCAGTGCATGCCGCATCCCTAGCTCACTGGAGAGCGGGGTAGTGGTTCCCATTGTGTAGATGCAGAAAATTGAGGCCCAGAGAGGGGAGTGACAGGCCACAGAGTGGAGCTGGGACTTGGACAGCAGCCTCAGCCTCCTTCCCTGGAGCTGGCTGTTGCCCTCACCTTCCCGACTTCTTCCCTGGCCTCGTCACCCAGTCCTGCTAGCCCCCACTTCCTCCCAGCTCCTGTCCCTCTGCCTGACCCCCCACGCCACCACCTTCCACGGTTCCCCCCTCACCGTGTACTCCTTCCTTTCTTGCAGCCCTGCGGCCTCTGAAACACTCTGCAAACAAAGAAGGTAAAGACGTGGCGCTTGAGAGTGTGTCTGTGTCTGTGCGTCTGTGTGGAGGAGGCGGGAGGTGGTCATACCCTTCCCTGCAGACCTGAGGCTCCCTGCAGAAGAGCAGACTCAACTCCCCCCTGGTGAAGGGGCAGAGGGTGGAGTGACCAAAGTCCCAGCTGCTTTAAGAGGCTGCAGATAGGACAGAGGCTTAACCAGGGCAGGAGTTGATTTCTCTCCTGTGACAGTGTAAGCACAGGTGGTCTTAAGGCCACTGATGTCCTGGAGCCAGGGTCCATTTACCTGGTTGCCGCCCTCTTCCACTCAAAGCTTCCATCCCCCAGGCCAAGGTGGCGCCTCCAGCTCCACGCCCCCTCCAGACGGGAAGGAGGAGAGGGAGGTGTGTTTTTTCTAGGGCTTGACTAGAAATAGCTGATGCCCCTCCTGTTTACATCCGTTGGTCAGAACCTAGTCACACGACTCCTAACTCGAGGGAGGCTAGGAAATGTGTATGTGTGTTGTGTGGAAATACATGTGTATCTGCCTGTGTGTGTCTGTATTTTGAACAAAATACTCCGTGATGCAGACTTGCCACTGGATATCAGTGGCTTCCACCTAGAAAGTCCAAGTTGGTTGCTAAAGGTTATGGAAATGTAAATCTTTTTCAGGCTGCTTTGGTGTCCTTGTTAGGAAATAAACTTTCACCAAGTTTCTGAATGCTCATCCCTGCATTTAGCTTTCCTGTGGGGAGGAGGGAAGGATATAGGCCCTGCCCTCAGGAAGCTCCCAGAGGCGGGAGGCAGTGGGGCCCTCAGAAACCTGCGCAAAGTATATGATAAAAAGCTGGGTGACAGACTCAGACTTTCACGAACAGCAGTAAGAGGTCTTCAGAAGGGCAGCTTCGTGCAGAAGAGCGAGCCCCCTGGGTTGGAAAGGGAGACCTTCGTTCTGGTCTCTGCCCATGACCTTCTAGGAGCAGTTTCCAGACGATTGTGAGGATTAGGCAAGGTGCCAAATGCAGAAGTGCAAGTAAAGCAAGTCCTTCTGAATGCCATAGAATGTTCCGTGGCAGTAGTGGAGACCTATATTGGGGTCTGGAGGGATGGAGATAAATTATCCGCCTCCCTGTTGTTCTGAACCAAATGAGGCAAGAAGGATGGAGCAGATGGAGATCAAAATGTCAGCTTGGTTTCAGAAGAGAGCTGCTGGAGAATGTGTGTGCAGAACAGTGGGCTCCCGATCCTGCTCCCCAGGCGGGCAGCCTGGCCCCCAGTCTCTGGCCACGCTGGATGAGCTCAGAGGCAGCGCCCAGGAGGGAGAACCACTCTTCCTGGGCAGACAGCGCCCGAAGAATGGGAGAGTGGGGAGTGGGGTCACACATGCCCGGGTCCTCCTTCTGCACTCTCCATTCAGGCAGGGAGTGGAGGAGGCTGGGGTGTGAATCCGCTGGGGGCCCCTCCATGAGGAGACAAGAAGCCAGAGGGAAGGAGTTCCTCACAGCATCGCTCTTGGGGAAATCAATATAGGAAGGGGAAGTTGGGAGGGGTTTCCTGCTAGCGGAGGGAAGTGGGCCAGGCGGGGGACGATGGATGGGATGGACAGGCAGGGGAGATGGGAAGGGAAAAGTGTGCCAGGCAGAGGGGCCAGTGGGAGGGAAGTGTGTCTGGCGGGTGGACCCACGGGGACTGAGAGGATTGGGCCGTCCCCCTCAGGTGCCTTTGTGGTCTGTCTGACGCCCAGCTCCTGAGTTTGTGTCTGTCTGGGCCTCGATGGCAGTGCTTAGCACAGGACTCAGGGGCTACACGTGGGACTGCTGTGGCCCCTCTCACACATCCTCTCTGCCTGGAGAATGCCACATGCCTGGGGTTCTGGCACACCCCCAAGAGCAGAACCCCTGGCATTTAATGCTTTTTTCCCCCTTTGTTTCTTCTCATCATGAAATGCAGATGATGGACAAGAAATAGCATGACCACAAGGACCAGGGAGCTGCTGCCCCTGTCCTGGGGTCTCCCACCTCTGGCTGCACTGGGGCCTCAGTGTGAGCCCTGGGCTGGGGCTTCCCTGCCCCCAACAGTTGGCTCCCACTCTGGTGGGTCTACTCATTCTGCAAAGGACACGACACACAGACCACCCTGCAGCCTTATTTCTCCAATGGACACGATTCCCAAGTCATCCTGCTACCTTATTTCTCCGTGACACGATGCATAAATCAGCCTGCTGCCTTATTTCTTATGGACACAAGACACAGACCACCCCACCACCTTATTTCTCCAATGGATATGCTACACGGACCATCTGGCTGCCTTTTTTCTCCAAAGGACACCGACCCTCTGCCTTATTTCTCCAAAGACATGACACACAGTTCCCCCTTGCCGTGTTTCTCCAGTGATCCTGATACACTAGTTATCACTTCTTGGCCTTGCTCGCATCTGCCTGTAATCCCATCTCCTCAGACAGGGGTACTGCAGCCTCAGCATCTCCTTGAGTCCAGAGGGGTGTCCTCCTGCTCTGGGCCCAGTGTTGGCCTTTTCCCTCCCCCGGGCATGTCTATGTGAAGACAGCCACCTCCCCCGGGCATGCAGACACGCAGGTGCACGTGCTGGAACACGTACCCACCTCCCTGGCCCAGTCTCTTCCATGGTGCTCTGGGCTGTGCCCGTGAGCCCCCCCACCGCCCACCCTCCCCAAGGGAAGCATGTGCTGGTCACACTGGGTCTCTGGGCTGCTGCATGGGCCCCCTGGGGGTCAGCTTCTGTCCGTCTGCTTTTCCTGCCTTTCATGTGTCCCTTCAAGTAATGTTCCCTGAGCATCCGTGGTGTGTCAGCGCTGCGTTAGGAGTGTGAGAAGATGAGCCCCTCCCTCAAGCAGCTCGCCCTTCAGCTGGGAAACCCGTGCGGAAACAGCGGTTCAGAGGGCGCTCCTGCCTTGCTCCCTACTGTACTCCTCTGTGCCCACAGCTCCCTGGATACCTCACCCCCATCCATCCCTAATCCTTACCCAGAGCAGAGGGCGGGGGCAGGATCCTGGAGAGAAGGACGGAGCCTCTCGCCGCAAGTGGAGAATCTGATGGTTTCCAAAGTGTCTTTCCAGGGGTGAGCAGGTGGCCAAGGCCCACCAGATCTGGAGAGTGAAGCCTAGGGGACACCTGGGGCCTCTCCTCGTGGGCTGGAGCCTGGGGGCAGGGACATAGCCACCCCTCCCCCATGGTGCTACTCTGAGGCTGGGGCAGACAGTTCCCAGCTTGTCTCCAGCCGGCCCCCAGCGTCTGGCAGAGTGACCTTCTGGTGTTCTCTTGCTGACCTGTCTCCCTTCGCCAGGAATGGAAGACATGGGGATTTCTAATTTAAATGTGGGACTCTGAGGAATTTTGTTAACTGCGGGTGTATTTGGGAAAAATAAATGCCTTCGTAGAAAGTTTTTTCTCTGCAGAGTATGTGGAAACAGGCCGGGCATCAGGACTCGGCAAGAGGGATTCCCTCCTGGACAGTTGAGGCCGGGGTAGGGATGCCTGGATCTCCTTCTCTCACTGTCTGTAAATCACTGGGTCTCCATGGCCGTGTGGCCCCCTCCCTGGCCTTAGCTTCCCCCTTGGTAAGGTGAAGTTGGCTGTCCAGAAAGCCAGGCTTTGGCTACTGTGTGGAGCTCCACTCACTCCTGGGAACATCACTTAATTTCTCTGTCTCAGAAGACTCGGACCCTAGGCTTGTTTGGGGCCTCCCCTGAGGCCCCCATTTTACAGATGAGGAAGCTGAGACCGGGAAAGGAGTTCTGCATGCTGTTCCTGGCTGACCCAGTGGAATGGGCACTCGTTCTGAGTCAGAGGTCCAGGTCCAGGACCTCCTTCTGCCCTGTGGCCCTGAGCAGGGCATTTAGCTTCTCTGGACCTTACTTTTCTTATATGAAAAATGGGCCTGAGGGTTTCACCACCTTCCACCTCCAAAGACTGAGAAGAGGGGGTGAATGCGGCAGGCAAACATGTTTCCAAAGAATGGGGTTCGGGGATGTGGGAGCCCTCAGCGTACTGTGCTCACTTGCCCCCTGGCGGCAGGGTCTCAGCACCTGACAAGCCAACCAGTCCCGGGCTTGGCAGGCCCTGGGGCGGCAGGGGGAGCCGGGGCTGGGGGCCAGGACACTGCACCTTTGTTCTTGGCTCCACTACTAACTTGTGACCGAGTCCTTCATCCTCTGAACTCTCATTTCCTTCTCTGTCAAGTAGAGGTGATGAGTCCTCCCCTGAAAAGAGTGCGGCATTCTTTATACACTGGAGCATTTGTGGTTGAGTTGATGGCCCTGGGGGGGTGGGGGGTGGCCACCTCGCTTGAAGTCCCATGGCTGGGCTCTGGGTGGTTTTAGAATCAGGACACTTGTACCTGGGCTCTGCCCTAGCCCCTTGTCCCCCTGTGCACTCGAGCGTGTTGCCCACATCACTGGACTTCAACCCCTGTACCTGTAAGGTAGGGACAATAGTAGTTCTTGTTTCACAGGAGTGTGTGGAGGTTGGACAGGGCCGTGGGTAAGAAGACACTGCAAACTATAAAGTGCTGGGTGCCCGTGAGGGATCATCTCCTTCTCTACAGTGGGGGCCGCACACTCTTGCTCCCTAGGTGCTTTTGTAGATGGAGCGAGTGCAGGGACCCAGAGCAGGCTGTCTGAACCTCAGTTTGCCCATCTGTAAAACAGGCACGGTAACTGGTGGTTTTTCTTTCTGACAGGGCTGGGGGAAGGCTCCGACGCAATGCTTTCTCAACTGATCCCGGGAGGGACTCGCCTGGGGACTGAGGGGTCAGGAAGGTGGCCACTAAGTTCCCTGGTGACAAGTGCCCCAGAGAGCAGTATTTTTAGCTGGACTTCCTGGGCAAAGCTCCAACTCCTGCATTTTAATGGAGAAATAATTCACACAGTGTGACAAGCGGTAGCCTGCAGGTGTCATATCCATATTAAAGAGGGGACAGAGCAAGGGTTCATTTGCCTGGCGCCAGGTGTGACCAGAATTCATCTCCAGGACCATTTGTAACCAGGGCCGTGAAGACCAATTAGTGGATCTGACCACTCGGAGGGAGGATACTAGGGGATCGGGGGTGAAAAGGAACAGCTGGGGTCCCTGAGTCATCCTGCCTTTCTCTCTCTGCTGTTTCCTCTTTCAGAGCACTCTGCTTCCGCTCACAGGCAGGAGCGGAGCCTTCCACGGGGTCTGTTCGGGGGGAGGCGCCTGACCTTGCTCGTCCCAGGAGGTGGTTGCTGAGTGGGAGGCTGGTGCTTGTGGGCCAGTAAGTGGAGACCCTGGCAGATTCTGAGCCAGGCAATGTCCAAAGATCCTGTTGCAAAGCCCAAGTCTTAAACTGAGATGTGAAGCAGAAGTTTGCCCGGAGTAGTCAAAGCCCCAGGCCTCCAAGTGCAGGGCACTCACAGAGAAGCACGAGCCCAAGGCTGGCGGGAAGGGAGGCGCCAGAGCGTGGGGGTGTGTGGGGAGCAGCGGGTTCAAACACTACAATGCAAACAGTACAGAAATGTATAAGGTGGTTGTCCTTGCCTCCAGTCTGCACTCAGGGAAGCACTATTAAGGGTTCACTATCTTCCAGGCTTTTCCCCAGGCTTGCTTACACATTTACAAAAATGAAATCATATATGTTGTTCTGCAACTTTTTTGTTTTTCTTTACCATTTTCTCGGGTCTATTCTACAGTACCCTCCTCCTCTTTCTTTACTTCTTATATTGAGGTGTAACATACGTCTAGTCTTTAAAAGATGCTAATCCTAGTGGCCAGGCGGGTGGCGCAAGTGGTTAAGTGCGCACGCTCTGCTTTGGGGGCCCCGGGGTTTGCAGGTTCGGATCCTGGGTGCGCACCAATGCACCGCACCAATGCACCACTTGTCAAGCCATGCTGTGGCGGCATCCCATATAAAGTGGAGGAAGATGGGCACTATGTTAGCTTAGGGCCAATCTTCCTCAGCAAAAAAAAGAGGAGGATTGGCATTGGATGTTAGCTCAGGGCTGATCTTCCACACCAAAAAAAAAAGATGCTAATCCTCAATGTATGGCTCCTTGCATTTTTACACTTTCAGATATATAACACTTTCAGAATCCAGAAAGTTCCCTCGTGCTCTTTCCCAGTTAGGAGCCCCATCCAGAGATACTATTCTGGCTGCTTTCACCATGGAATCATTTTCTTTCTCTTGAACTTCATGTAAATGGAATCCTACATTTATATGCTATTTTGTGTCTAGCTTCTTGCAAAAACCTCCCTCATTCTTTTCAAATGACTACCTAGTATCCATAGAGAGCTGTTCTAGAATATATTTTGCCAGTTCCTACAGCTGGATACAAATAATGCAGCCTGTGTTCAGGTTTCTACAGTATGGAGCCCCAGAAGTGAGATGTCGGGGTCATAGGCCTGTGCATTTTATTTATTTACTTTTTTGTGAGGAGGACTAGCCCTGAGCTAACATTCAATGCCAATCCTCCTCTTTTTCACTGAGGAAGATTGGCCCTGGGCTAACATCCGTGCCCATCTTCCTCAACTTTATATGGGATGCCGCCACAGCATGGATTGACAAGTGGTGCGATGGTGCACGCCCAGGATCCGAACCTGCGAACCCTGGGCCGCTGAAGCGCAGTGCACGCACTTAACTGCTGCGCCACTGGACGGCCCCAGGCCTGTGCATTTTAAATGATGGTAGAGTTGCCAATTGTTTGGGCTACCTTTCTAGCCAGTCCCTGTGGCAGCAAGAATGTGCAAGCAAAGAACACTTAGGGCCACTAGCAAACAGATTCTAGACAGGGCAGGAATGGTGCTGGAAACTCCCTCTGTAGCAAGGCTCTCAGGACCTCAGGGGTGGAACAGTGGATGGGACCTGTGGTCATCCCTTCCTCCCCCAGCCCCTCTGCACGACCTTCCCCTTCACCATCTGCTTTGTGGTGGCTGCTGCCTCGGTTCCCCAGGAGCTGAATTCATGGACCCCCGTCCTGGAGGTGAGTGCGTCTGCCTCCTGCTGGATGGGGTGGGAGCAGCTCCGAGGTCTGAGTGTGTGTCAGGGCTGGGCTGAGCCTTGCATCCTGCCCCAGAACACTGACCATAATGGATGGGGGGAGGCTCACCAGCACCTCGCTGGATGCAGGTGCCTCAGGGCAAGTTAAATCTCCTGCACTCGTGTCTCAGGGTGTTCATAACCCGCCCTTTGGCTCCACCAGCTCCAGGTAATTATGGTGACACCATTTCACCACTAATGAGGTGGTGCTTGTTAGAGCACAGGAAACCCTGGGTCTCACGGG